TATTTATTTAGCTTGTATGCTGCCCACACTACCCAAAGGTCTCTGGGCGGCTTCCAATAATTTCGATACAGTATGCTTTACTCTGACATTTCAAATCTGAAGGGTAATGCATGTGGGAAGGGGGGAGAAATGTTTTAAACTTCTCTCAGAAAACCCATCCTACTACTTGCCTCTAGGGTTCCCCTCCCACGCCCCATGAAAGAGGGGGAAAGTTTTCTAGTTTTCTGTGTTTGACATACTTGTTTTAGTCAGAATGCTGTTTTTTTTAAATGGTTTGCAAATGAAGCATAGTTACCACACACTATAGGAAGGCTTTATAGATTATGACTGTTAAGATAACCTGGTCTTCTCTATACATATTATTGATAGGCCTGTCGCAGGTCAGCTAAAAAAGAAATTCACTTCCTCTTAAGGTTGAGCTGCAAAATATGCAGCATAGGGAGATTGTGTTGCTGCTTTCCTCCTGCTTGTGGCTCACTGCTTCTTGAACAAGATTTAAAAGTATAGTGCATTTTGTGATGTTGTGCTTTGTCCAGGTTAGATTCTTTTGGTTCAGATATTAAGAAATAGCCAAGTTGTGCCTTGGGCGAAAACCTATTTGGTTGCCAGCTTGATTCTTTTCTGGCCTGCTTTTAATGACTGTATTGCACTTATTCTATATTTAAGTAGCTGGAGACCAATTAAGTGATGCAATTACACAGCAAAAATAAGAATGTTTTACAACATTTCCTACAGTTCAGTGGAGAAAGACCGATCTTCATTTGCATATATATTAAAAATTCATTTCAGCATAGTGGGTCATATTTTCGCCGCCCTCCCTTGTTACCTTTCCCTTCTCCTCAGGTTTTGGGTTACTTTAACCGTTCACAGCCATGCTGATGCTGTTAGCTTTTCTAGCGGAAGTGGTGGAAGTAGTTGCCTAGCATATCTGGAAAGTTCTAGGTAGGCGAAACAGACTCTAAGCTTTAGTGGACCCTGTATATGTTTACACTGCAGTACGTCTCACTGAATTCAATGGGCCTGCTTGGAAGTACAGTGGTGCCTCGCTTAGCGATTGCTTCGTTTAGCGATGTATTCACTTAGCGATTTTTTTTTTTGAAAAATTCACCAAAAATTAACAAAGACTCAGAACAAAGCCAGATTAAGTCTGCAAAGGTTTCACAAGGTGCACTAACGATTCCAAGCATTTAAAACAGGCTTCAAACATGTTAAGACACTTTTAAATGATCAAAAATGGACATTGCAAAGCCACTGAAATGCATTGAATAGGCTTCAATGCATTCCAATGGGGGAAACATTGTTTCGCTTAGCGATGTTTCCTATGGCGATTTTCGCTTAAGGACGGTAATCTGTTCCCATTGGAACGGATTAACCGTTTTTCAATGCATTCCTATGGGAAGTGGTGTTTCGCTTAGCGATGTTTTCCCATAGCGATGTTTTTTTTAACCAATTAACATTGTTAAGCGAGGCACCACTGTAAATGTACACAAGATAGTTTGGTTAGTTTGTATCATTAGTTCTGTTTAATTTTTAAAACTATGTGCAACCTCCAGCAAAGTTGATAGTGAAGGAACTTTGCACAAAGCTGCTGTTCATAATTTGTGCAGGGGTAGAATCATACTTAGGAGAGTTATGCCCTGTTTACCTGACTAAAGATATGGAGATGCCAGGTAAATATCTGACAGTGCTTTCCTCTTTCTTATTGCATAAGGAACACATTGTTGAATTGGGATTGCTAAACCAAGAGACCATAAAAATGTCTTCTGTCTTGTTCGAGGTGAATTTCTTTGTTACATTTACAGTACTTTCCTCAAAGCATTCTTTTAAATGTCACTTCTCTAGGTGAATTTGGAACAGTCATCTTCTCCCTCTCCCTGCAAAAGTTATCTCCAGAGAAAATTGACTGACCTTGATAATTTCAGTGCTTGACCTGTTAGAATGAATTTTCAGTCTCTTGGACTGTGTATAATGTATGTGTTCAAGCATTTTAATTTCTGTGTTGCAGGCTGGCCAATAACGAGAAACAAGGGATACGATCACATACGGTCTCTGTATCAGGTAGGATCCTTGTTTCTACAGAGGCATTTCTGTTTGGACAGCTTTTCAGGCATTTTTTGTCTGGAGTTCTTTTTTCTGTTTTAAAATATTGAATGTGTTATTAAAAAGGACTTGTGAGAAATGGAGAAAAATTCATTAAATGTGAAAGCAAATCCGATTTGAATTTCTCCAACTCTGTATGTTGATATTGAAATCTGTTATTATATACTGTGGGTGTAATTCTCTTGTGATGCTATGCAAAATGCGTAACTTTTGGAGGTGAATTGCCTCAAGAAAGAAATCTCTTATCTATTGCATACTGAGTCACGTGATGCATGCAATGGGTAATGTATATGAAGAGTCTTTAACTCTAGTCATTTAGTGTCCAAATGTTACGTATTTTGTGTAGCATCACAGCAGATTTCAGCCTATATTGTAATGCTTTATGTGCAAAATGTTCTTCACAGTTCATTGTTGAGAAAGCTATTGTGTTGATGAAATGGCTGGTAAAAAGTCCAGCATTTTCACATTTGCACTAAAAAAAATTCTATGTTGTCTTCAAGTGTGTCCATGTGTAGGTGTGTACATAAACACATCCTGCACCTGCCTGGATTTCTTTTCAGTTACAAGAATTGATACAGTAACTGAATTAATAGCTTGCTGGTTTTTGCTTTATTTTAGTGTGCCTTAGTTTTTCCCTTGTTAGAATTAAATCACTGCATGTTAGGATCACTTTTGAATTTTTTTTTCAGAGTGAAGCATATGGTGACTGAGAGAATAACTCAGTTCACTGTTGATGTGCTAATGGCTCAGACAGAGAGTGTTTACAACTTTCTGCATATACTGTTTTACAGCAGATAATGTGTTGTACTTGGCCTTGGGCTAGAATCCAAACGCAACAATGGATTTATTAGAAAGCATTTGGCAAAGTCCATCCTTTTTCTTTTTCATACATATTATGGAGATAAAATGGTCCGTACACCTGAAAAAACATGTAAACTAGAGATATATAAGGTGCTTGGGTAATGCGTTTAGTATCTGAAAGTGGAAATGTGGGTGGGTGCTTTGTGGCATCATTTACAACGGGCTGACTATGTTTAATCTATCTGGTATTTTTTTCAGTGAAACATTTGTATGGGTTGACAGAAATGGGTAGCAAAGCTAGTACTGCAATAGTTTTTTTTAAATCCTTATTCTGTTCTTATTCTTTCTTGTAGTTTTGTTGCTAACATCAGTCTTTCCATTGACTAGTGCAGCTGGATTTATTTGCATACAATTCCTTAAAAAGCAATAGTACAAAGTGATTGTATTCCTTCATTTCTCTATACAGTGGGGTCTTGACTTAAGAACGGCTTGAGTTAAGAACATTTTGACTTAAGAACCGCTCTCATAGGAGAATATTGACTTGACTTAAGTACTTAGATTTGAGTTAAGAACTGGAAAAAAAACCACGTGGGAGGCAGGGAAAGTGCAAAATGTGAACTTTCAGTTAACTGTTGGCCAGTGAAAAGGGTGCCTGTCTGCTTCCTCACTCCTCCCAGCGTTTCGAGAGTGGATTGGGAGACAGTCTTCAGACTGCCTGGTACGGCCTGGACTGTCTTTTCCCTGCCTTCCCTGAACCTTTCTTGACCTAAGGAAAAAAGAAACAAAATATCCCCCTCTAGTGGTCGAAGGAGGAATAGCAGCTTCCCATTAGTTTCTATGGACAGAAAAGAGCAGATACGGATCAAATGATTTTCAATGCATTCCTATGGGAAATGCAGATTTGACCTGAGAACTTTTTGCCTTGAGAACTGCCTTCCAATACGGATTAAGTTCTCAAGTCAAGACCCCACTGTACTAGTCTTAAATACAAGCCTTATTAACAACACGGGTCACAACAACAAAGGAAAACTTTAGATTACTTTAATCAAAATTTGATTTTTAATTTGGGCTTTGGGCCATTAAACTGACATCTTTGTACAGTTCTGTTGTGAATTATCGAAGTCCAATTTGTGCAGATGTATATTCTAGGTTGTTTCTGTAAAACCATATACAATTCAGCTGGTTACTCATGCCAGTTTTTGTGACTTCCACACATTTTCTAACCATTTATATGAAATAATTTCCAGTCATGGTATGGTTCCTTCCTTTATGGACTACTGTTCCACTGAATTTGTGTCATGGGTATAGACAGTTAGTGTAAGAATTACATCGTGATTCCTTCATTTTCCCCCCGACAGGGGGTACATTCCCTTTGTGCCATCCTCTAACTGTGTCAACTTGCTTCAAAGAAAGTTGTGCTTTATGTAGTTGCATAGATGAGGCATACTTTGCCATGAATGTGTATGAGTGGCATTGAACACTGAGACCAACAACTGTGCACAATGTACAATTAAAACTGACTTATAGCTGAGCAGTTTTGACAGTCATAGTCTAATTTGCATAGCCAGCTGTGGTGATGCTGTTGTGAACTACAGAAAAGAGCCCTGCTCTTTGATGGTATTTGAAGTGGCTTGTAGCCTGGAGGGTTGAACTCAATGTCGATATATATTCATAGCTGGCAGATACCTGCCTTTCTCCTCTGCAATGAAAAAACATGCAATTAGCATTTAGCTCTTGGGTTGTATCAGCATTTATATTATTTATTTCAGTGTACAAAGGCCATTGCTTATATGAAAAAAGCATATTCTTTATTACACATGCTCTACAGGTGTAGAAGCGTAATTATGATCTCTTTAAAAAAAAGATGAGTAGACACTTAAAATGTCTGCAGAAATCACCAGCCCAGTGCCTCTTTTTTTGTCTTAGTTGAGAACATTATTTTTAGTGTGATCTCTCAGTCAAAGTAACAAGTTTATTATAAGATCAGTGAATACTGTGGTCATTTCATTGGAAAAAAGCATGAATAGCATTGCTCTGGCTTTTAAGGTGCAGTTCGATAGATTTTGCATTCATTGCCTAAAGAAGCAAAGGAATGCATCAAAAATGGAGGAAAATACTCTGGCCATTCTAATTGGTGCTTAGAATGCTTCTAAAAAAGAGTGGAATAATTTTGTAAGTACAAACTTCTCACTGATGGCAGTCTATAGTTGTGTGTTAAGAGTCTGCTTGAAAATAAGAGACTTTTCATAAAAGCATAGACAAGCCACTTCTTAAAAACAACAACCCTACAACTTCCAGAATTCTCCATCCTGACAGAAAAAGTTAAAAAATAACATATTTTTTTTGCTCCATAAGACACATCAAATTTTTAGGAGAAGAAAACAGGAAAAAATAATCTGTTTTCTACTCCTAAAAATTGGTGAGCCTTATGGAGAGGTCCATCTTATGGAACACACCCCAGGACCCTTTGGAGGCTCACCCAGCCCCCCTGGAGGCTGGAGTGGGTGAAATCGCCACCTTCTGGGACTCTTCTGAAGCT